GTTTGGGGTGCCCTGAGAAGGTTTGGGGTGCTCTGAGCAGGTTTGGGGTGGCCCTGAGTGGGTTTTGGGGTGACCCTGGGGGGGCTTGGGTGGGTTGGGCCACCTGGGGGTGACTCCTTTGGGGACCCCCTCCAACAAGGGACAGGGGACAAGGGTACCCCAAAAGCGAGGAGAGGGGACCCCAAAGCAGGAACAGCAGAACACCCCAAAATCAAAAGGGACAGAGACCCCAAAAACAGGGACAGGGGGACCCCAAAGAGGGGACAGGGGACTCCCTTGGGGACCCCAAATCAGGGTCAGGGGACAGAGGGACTCCCAGGTACCCCAAACCAGGGACAGGGGACACCCTTAGGGACCCCAAAACAGGGTCAGGGGACAGAGGGACCCCCTTGGGGACCCCAAACCAGGGACAGGGGACAGAGGGACCCCCAGGGACCCCAAAACAGGGTCAGGGGACAGAGGGACCCCCTTGGGGACCCCAAACCAGGGACAGGGGACAGAGGGACCCCCAGGGACCCCAAAACAGGGTCAGGGGACAGAGGGACCCCCTTGGGGACCCCAAAACAGGGTCAGGGGACAGAGGGACCCCCTTGGGGACCCCAAACCAGGGACAGAGGGACGCCCCAGGTGACAGAAAGACCCAAAAGCAGGGACAGGGGACATGGTGGGGACAGGGGGGTGACACAGGGATCACAGGAGGGACATGGGGGGGACACAAGGGGACACTGGGGGTGACACGGGGGTGACACGGGGATCACGGGGGGACATTGGGGGACACGAGGGTGACACGGGGATCATGGAGGGGACACTGGGATCACCGGGGGTGACACGGCAGGACACTGGGGTGACACGGGGATCACCGGGGGACACTGGGGGACCCGGGGGTGACACGGGGATCACGGTGGGGACACCGGGGGTGACACGGGGATCACGGGAGGGACACCGGGGGTGACACCGGGGGTGACACGGGAGGAACACGGGGATCACGGGCGGGACACGGGGGTGACACGGGGATCATGGGGGTGAC